CCCCAAAACCCCAAAACCCCAAAACCCCAAAACCCCGTGACATATATTTATTATTGAAAATGAATCCAAAAAATCCCTCTATACTGAAAAATAGTGATGAAATTCGAAACATAAAAGGCCCTGATGATCTTCTTCCTACTCCTGAACTTCAGATTTCAAAGTTTAAGCAAACAAGGAGCTATAATAAGATGGTACAGAACTACATTGCAAGCAGATATGTTGAGAAATGAATGAAATAAATTTTGAAAGATCACCATTATCATTTGAATTGTTATAATTGCTCTTCTGATCTACTTCTTAATTTTTGAACTAATAGCTCACTTTATTACTGGCATTGGTGCACTGATAATCCTTTGAGTACTTCACTTCTTCTTGTTCCGATTTATTTGTCAAAATTTAACCTTTGCAGGAGCTTCTAAATTCTGGCTCAGAAATGTAGAATTCAGCTATTGTTCTTCAACCTGAAGAAAGGTTTGTAGAGAGATCAGAGAAATTCAGCAAGCAATTTTGGCTTTGTCTCAAAACCAGGAGATTGATAAACAAGAACTGAGTAGGACTGTACAAGTGATCGAACAGTTCAAAAATATGTGCAAAGATTGCCCTACAGATCACTCTGGGATTGTCAAGCTCCAAGGTTTGCTGAAAGATACTATGGTTACCATTAATGGTCATAAATCATCATTGTGGGACATAAGTGATGATTACTGCCTTGAAAATAACAACAATAGTTTATTTTTTTCGTTATTTTCTGTAAAATTTGAAGATTTTCCTAAAAATTCTAAAGTGAAAGAAATAATATATCTATGAACTAAGATTCGGAAAAACTTGGAAACCTATTACACTACAAACTGATTTACTAAGTACATAAAAATGTTTATGTACAAACCTTTTGGAAGGATTGATCAGATGAGGAAAGGGCTAGAAAATAAATACAATGGTATCCAGACTTGGTGTAAAAGTTATGACGGAAAAAGAATTGACTGAATGTTCATCCCAGCTTATTCTGATTCCTCAGAAGTTGATGTTGATTACAAAGACTGACCAACTATGTTGTATTGTAACCCTAACGCAGGTTATTATGAGTTTATTTGATATCAAACAGAATGGTTAAGCTATGCCAGCTTAGGTATCAATGTTGCTCTTTGGAATTATAGAGGATACGGGCAATCAGAAGGATCTCCGACCCTAGAAAATATTCGAAGAGATGGGGAATGCGTTCTTAAACACTTCAAAGGAAGCTTCTATCTCACCAATAAAATTGGGATTCATGGTCACTCTCTTGGAGGTTCTGTTGCAAGCTATATTTCTAGTCACAATAAGGTTGATTTTTTGTTTGCAGATAGATCTTTTGAAGCAATCTCAAAAGTTCCAGAACCAAAACTTGGAAAACTATCTAGTCTATTCTATCTCGGAGTCACCTGCAACTCAGACAATGTGGCCCCAGATTACCTTGCTGCAGATTGATATAAGATATTGTCCTGAGACCCAGAGGACAATATTATTGATGATTCTTGATCACTTTCTAGCGCAATTTCTAGTGAAATTATCAACGAAGCTCTAAGTCTTTCTGGAAATGATACCAAATTCAAAGAATATTTCCATATAATATCAAAAGATGAGAGTTCTAAACTATTTCAATCAATTAAAGAGCTTCTGAATCTTGGAAGCAAACTTTATTCTTGGAAATGTTATGAAGATCAGCAACAAGAACTTAAAGATTTAAGCCTGAATCAAGAAGACTCTCATAACCACTTTTATGCTGGATTTGGAAATTCAAGTTTGGCAGATATTCCAAAGATTAATAATAGTGACAGCTCACTATCATTAAATGTAAATTCACAGTTAAATAAAAAGAACATTCACCGTACAATGTATGGTGAAGAGTGAGATTTAGAAGATCCTATCCCCAAAAGTTCTTCATCAAAGTACCTCGAAGCCTGACAAGAAGATGATCTGGATGAAGACTTTCTTAAAGTGACTATCCCATGAGTTGACAAGGAGCCTTCACTCAATGAGTTACACTCAGCCCACAAAAAGGCTTTAAAATATTTGAAAAAGAAGGAAAAGAACTCAACTGAAAAATCAGATTTGAAATCACTCTCCAAAATTCTTGGGAAAATCATCAGAATTCTTGATAATATCAATTCAAAAGGTATCTCCCTTCTTGACATTTACAAGTGACCGAGTTCTAGTCAAGAAAAGCAGTTCAAGAATTTCTTCATTAACCTTGACATCTGGGGCTCCTGGGAATTCTACATAGAAAGAAGAGTCGAGGATCTTGCTGAATTATATAAGAAATAAAGCTGCCGAAAAGGTAGAATTTGCTACGGTTTCTCTAATGAGGTGCCTCACTCTAATGAGAGATGAACAAGGTCACCTTTTAGAGTTTGTTAGAGAAAGAACAACTACTCTTCATGACAATTTTAGAACAATTTCCGAATATTTGAAACAAAGAACAAAAACTGGAGGTAGAAATAGATTACAAGATGATATCCATCTTACAAAGATTTCTCAGACTCTTATGAAGGAGCATGATCTTGAAAAGATCACAGAACTAAATGAGCCAAATACTGACCAAACAGAAGGTGATCGTTTTGAAACTATTTATCTTGAAGATCGTTGCAAAGCAAAAGAGAATGAAATAACTGAAGAATTGAAGGTTGAAAAGAAAAAGAAAGCATATCACAAGTTTACCTCTCCCAACATTGATGATTCTTGTAAAAACGACCCACTTGTGAAAAATTATGATGTCCAAAATTTACAATCAATACTGAACAATTTCTCACTTTCTAAAAAGATTGGCAACTTATTATTAACAAGATGAGGCCACAATGGTGACTTTAGCTACGAAGAGAAGGCTCTATACGAGAAGCACTTAAGAGCATCAAATTTTATCTAATTTTACCTACGAAGATTGCTTCAACCCAATTAAAAAATCTTGGGGTTTTGGGGTTTTGGGGTTTTGGGGTTTTGGGG